GCTCTTGTACCCTTTACAGTTCATTGTATGTACGTTATTACCAAAGATGAAAACAAGCCAGTCAGTCACTCATTGTGTCTGACAGTTAAATCTAGCAAGTAAACGGGTTTCCTTTCATAATTTGAATATTAGGACACTGCTAACGTTTAAATTTCACAAATAGGACATACATGACATATTCATAATTCCTGCAAAGTTCTACAGAATTTGATGTTGGCTGCAAAAGGGACATAGTATATTTAATCTCTTATGACAAGTGGTCTGGCTTTGGCACAGCAGTTTGCTTTGTCTGACATGATTTTGCCATTGAAAAGGCATATTCAGTTAGTAGAGTTTCAACCTTTATGATTGAAGGATTTTGATTAAAGGATTTTATTGATAATTATCTATTCTCGCAGTCCAAAGACTGAATTGCAATGGTTACAAAAGTTTACAATGTATATACATTATGAATGATTAGGATGAATTTGGATTAATTGAGTTGAACTTACTGATCAGCAAGCGATGCCCAAAACATTGGGTCATGTCCAGTCTCCAAAAACTGATAATGTAGGGACCATTGTTCTCCCTTACAGCAGCTCTTCGTACTCTATCCTGGAGACCCTCCCAGATGACAGCGAGGGAATACTGACGTACTGCATCTTGCCGGGATTCGTCCGTGTCCAGAGAACAAACGGGGCATTTCCATTCTCCGTCTAGATATGAGATGGTTCGTAAAGATTGTTTATTTAAAACGAACGAAAGGTATACAAAAGGGCACGTAACTACTGTGGGTTGATTTCCATAATAATTAAGAAATAAAAGACAATAAAATACATCAGAAAATTAATATTAGAAAATCGCATGGAATTGGTATAAATTATCATCATGAATTACATCAAATTAACTATTTTGTGTTAGAAAAGAAGTTTCATATGAATGATGAGTTTTAACATTCAAAAACTGGAGTCTGACAATTTATGTAATGATTCTAGTTCCCTGTATATTTCCAGATTTGATATTCATGAATGCGTAATTTGCATAGTCATAATTTATGCAAATTAAGCTATGCATTTTCAAATATAACAATGAAACCTCATGAATTTGAGATGAGGGAAACATTTCCAGAGAGCCCTTAAGGCTAGCTTGAAGCACCGTTTTCAGTGCAATAAACGAAAGTATAGGGGCAAGAGAAAGCGGAACGTAGTACCCATTCGCCGTGGAACGTGGTTTGCCAGCACTAAAATTAGCATCAGGAAGACTATATTACTCACTTATTGTTTAGTTCACAAATTAAAGTATAACGACGCTATACACGAACCATCTGTGCCCTCAGCAAGTGTAAGTAGTACAACAGAAACCACTGGAGTTCCAAGTCATAAACACAAGTTAAATAGCCGTGATATCTTAACACACTGGCGGCCATTTTGAATTTGCCGGCCATCTTGATAAGATAAAATCAATTACAATAATTTATTTAAGATGAATTCAGCGATAAAGAAAACCTACATTGCAAACAATTCTTGCATTATGAGAAGTTGCACAAACGCCGAACGATCCCTCTAAACTCACCACTGTGTTGTACTCTCTAATTAACTCAATCATGTTAACAACTAAATGGTATTCAGAAAGATAATGAGCACGGAAATGCCACCGTTCTATTCCAAACGAAAAAAGGAAAGTGCCTTTAAAATAGAGATAAAACTAAACTACTTACCCAATTTGGCTCCTGAGAGCAGGCAAAGTTTGCCTCTGAACAACTGCGTTGAAAGCATGGTGCTTGCCTGTTAATAGCACACCCAAAATGGTGACCGCGAGTGCTGCACGAAACAGTCCTCTGTTTCCAAAGTTGTATAACGGAATAATCAGCATGTAGATTCCGTTCGCTCACCAGTTAGAAGAAAGAGAAACTGATCGAGAATGCAGGTGCATGTATAGCTTGGCACCAATATTCACAAAAGAAAATATGTCGTAACAATTAACGAGCCTGTCAGCAGCATGCATACGCCAGAGCCATTGATTCAGAGATTCGCCAACCCCGGTATAGTTTTATGGGCACAATATGGAGAATACTGCTTTGTTGGGCAAGCACAAAACAAAAGAACGCACATTCGCCAATGCTATGCCCAACAAAAACCAAGTTGAGCAAAATTCTATATATAAATGGCTCTGGCATACGCTTGAACACACCCTTTTCCTGTCTAATGAAGTGTCGTCTATAACCTCACTTTAAAGGCACATTGTGTATGACATTGCTCACATAATATAGGCTACCCTGGAAGCAAACAAAAGATAGGCGTTACTAACAAATTTGAATAAGATTCTCTCTCCCTCTCTCTTTCTCTCTCCCTCCCTCTCCACCTCCCTCTCTCTCAGCCCCTTTCGGTCCCCACTCCCTCCTTCCACATTCACTTATTCATGTCCCTCCACTCCAACCCCCCCCCCCCCCCCCTCGCCCCTCTCCCTCATTTCCCCTTCTCTCTCTCTCTCTCTCTCTTCGTCTTCGATCATTCTTCTCAAACTCCAAAACCGCCGTCTCATTTCAATCTGTCCCTCTTATCCCCTCTCTCCAGCTCAGATCTGCTTCTCTATTATCTCTCCCCTCTCTCTCCCTCTCTCCTTATCTCTCCCGATCTCTCCCCTCTCTCTCTCTCTCTCTCTCTCACCCCCCCCCCCCCCATTGCTATCATTCCTTTAGAATAATTGCGCCGATACTGTCTTTGACACAAAAAAACAGTCAGGCAAAAATAGTTTACATCCCTGCTGCAATGGAGAGAAGGGTATGGATAATCTTGAGATTCGTGCATACAGAGATGCAATCAATCTTGAGACAATTCTCCACCGTCTCTTGCTCTCTTTTTTTTTTCTCTCTCTCTCTCTCTCTCTCTTTCTCTCTCCCAATATGTATTTCTCCCCCCCCCCCCGCCACCCTCCCCCCCCCCCCCCGCGCTCCTTCTTTTATAGCCTCACACATATAATTCAACAAGCTATGTCGAATGTGATGAAAACAATTAAAGGCAACAATAGTAAACCATTTCTCTTATAATATCTATTTTGGGTCATCTTTTAATGTTATTCCAGTGAATTTACGGAACAAAACATCAAACAAGGGAATCCAGACTAGAATTACCTATTTCTCTTTATAGAATATAATCCTACATTGTCATCAATCATCATCACCGTCATCAGTATCATCATTATCGCCCAAAGTCAATATCATTCTGTTAATATCATAGTAGTATTCGAATATTTTTGATTTGTTATTGACAATAGGCTACTGTTTATATACAACAGTCGAGAGAACTTATAAATTGCTAACTCAGATACATGTAGTCATGTCAGTTACAGCCTGAACCATCTCATATACAGAGTTTGGCCAACTTGGTTTCACTGGGTCACAACATGGCGTATATTCTTTTGTTTTGTGCTTGCCCAACAGAGCAGTAGTCACCATATTGTGTTCAACTCGAACCGGGTTGGCCAAACTATGTGTATAGATGGCTCTAGTTAGAGCCATTGCATATCTCCACATAAAGGCGAATAATCGGGATCTTTAAACAGCTGGGCAGCACCAGGTTACATTGGTGAAAATTCTCGAGATTTATACCAGAGTCCCCGGATTGGGTCCTTGCTTGGTGCTTAAATCCTTGGACGAGCTATTTGCCCACTTTTTTCTCTAGCGACCAAGGTGTACTAAATGGCAACTTGATATTAAATGATGGGGTAATAATACTTGTAATGACCCGAGGAAAAGCAATATTAATTATATAGATAGATAGATAGATAGATAAGATAGATAATCAAGTTTATTCCATTCATCATAAAAAACATTTAGATACAATAACATACAAAATCACAAGATATATAGTAAAAATAAACAAACATTACATAAGATAATATTACAAAATAAGGTGATCTAGACAAAAACATGGCAAAAGTGAGTATTTATGTGAATTAGGAGGCAGCTAGAAAGGAAGGAAATGCCTTATTGGTGCTGCCACCTACAAACAAAAATGAAAATTTGAAATTACGATAAAAAGAGAGTATGAGTACAAGAACAGATTGAAAATTTACAGAATAACTACATTGTACAAGTATATTTACCCAAAAGAATAACAACAAACAACAACTAACAACAAAAAAGATTTGTTTTTGTTTCTTACATTGACAGCAAACAAAACAACCAAACTAAAACACTAAAAAGACAAAAACAAAACCGACAAAAAAATCAACAACAAAAAAGAAAAAAAGAAACCTGATCAAACATTGCTAATATATCTACTGAGTAATAAAGTGTTATATCTCTTTTTAAAGACATTTAGTGATGGACTGGTTTTAAAGGTAATACAAAGTTTTGGGAAATTTTTGTGGACAACATTGGGTGGACAGTGATTCTTTACAATTTTGATATATTTGGATGCCCCTCTGGATGTATTAAAAGCACTAGAAAATTTAGCCCCTAAAACACTTCTGCTTTCGAAAAAAAAATTTCATGAATTTTAAATAGCGCCTACGGCCGTACAATGGTAGCTGTGACCATGAAAATCTCAGAATATGTAGTTGTGATATATAATTTTCAAAAAAATCAACGGGAATAGCTAATTGGTCGATTTTAGTCAAGAAACATTGTTTTATATCTTAATTAATATCTTGACCTTGAGAGGGAGCTATACAACATAAAGAGTTTATCATTTACAATTTCATAACTTTAGACTCGATTTCAACAGCGACAACGATCACTGAATATTGTAGGATCGCATATGCTTCCGATATATTCATTTGAACCAAATTCATGACCCCATACCAAAAATTTGTATTACCTTTAATATGTACTGGTAAACTGTTCCAGATTTTGGGCCCTTTGAAAAAAATACAGTTTTTAGCTAGAGAGGTGCGTACTTCAGGTAAATGAAAGTTTGATGTGGCTTCATGAGCAACGTGAATAAAACATAATTATCATCATTATAATGATTATTTCATGTATTATTATCCTTATTATTATTATTATCATCATCATCATCCTCATCCTCATCCTCATCAATATCATAATCATCATTTATGGACATGGTAATTGGTATGATTATTCAAATACACTCGACAATCTGATTTCATGGAAGATGTTTCAACGTATGTAAAGACACAAACACAAACTGTGATATACACAGTAACGTCTAAAGATGTTCAAGGCAATATTGGAATTGGAATTTCCCCTTTTGGGGTGTATGAATTTTAAGCAAAATAGTATATATCTGGTTCAACAAGATATGATTACATTTTTCAAAGTTAGGTTTATTCTTCAGCGCTTCCCAATTAACTCTTGAAAAACATAAAATTTCGTTATTTTATTTTCAAGGAGAGAAAGCCTATTGTAGGGACGAAATGTTGTTGAAGCATTTGAATGTTACATTAAAGAACAAAACTAATAAATGTTTTTAGATTAAAACAAACTTGGAAATCTGCTTTCATTTTAGTTTTATTCATTTTAATTTATCTTAATATATATTGATAATAATTGTAATTCTAATTTCAACTAGCTACTTGTAGGTGTGAAATTATTGCATAGGCTATAGTACAACGTTAGTTGACAACTAGGCTTAGTGAGGTTTAATATTTGATTAAATGTGAAAGAGCATGAATACATAGGGTGAAAAGGGTCTATTATCTTTTTTTGAAACTTTGACGCTTCCCTCCCACATTATTTTCTCTTACTTTCTATTTCTTTTCTATTTCTCTCCCTCTCTTTCTCTATCTCTCCACTGAGTAAAACGGTATTAGAGAGATTCTCATCAACACAATCGCGATCATGACCTTAACGATCAGTTCAATTTCTGGATTATTATTGTTATAGATTGATTTTCAAGTGGCACTGAGAATTTATAGAGAGAATTATGACTTAGATGACTTAATCAATAATTACACTTCCAAAATATATACAAACATTTTGGCCACGGATTTTGAATACATCGGGAAGATCAAATCAAGATAATAATGAGCAGATAATAATTATTAGTGACCAATTGCTACAGAATATACAAGGCACACTAGAAAATACAAGACATATATGGGCCCCCGGTCTTAAAAAGAGTTGCGATTTATTCAAATTGATCGCTACTTGAAATCATTCGCAAATCTCTAACAGATTAAGGAGATAGATGTTTGTAAGTTTGCGATTGATTATAAAACTTACGATCAATCTAGAACTATCGCAACTCTTTGTAAAACTGAGACCTCAAATTTAGACTGTAATTCTAGAATACAATACAAAGTCTCTTGATAAAAGCAGGCAAGACCGACGAATGTTACGCTAGTAGCCGATACACACATCTTTGGCTCCAGATCCTGGCTTGTGTCCTGAAATTGACGGGAAAATCAGAAGAATTAGAGAGGGACACAGAGAGAATGGGAAACAAAGAGAGGGAGGCAGGAATGGGAAGCGAAGGGGGAGAGCAATGCAGAGGGGGGGGGGGAGACGGGTAGTGACAGATGAGATTGTAGAGGGTGAGAGGAAGAGGGGAGAGAGAGACAGCGAGAGATACAGAGAAAGAGAAAGAAAGGGAAAAGGGGATAGGAGAGAGGAGGGGAGAGAACACTCTGAACATGACTGACAAAGAAAGCGGACAAAATATACAGTTCCTCAGGTAGACAAAGGAACATTCCTTCACTGCTATTATGTAAAAATGTGCAGAACAGGTGTACATGCATATTCACCTTTTTACATAATGGCAGTGAAGGGATGTTCCTTTGTCTACCTGAGGAATTGTATATTTTGTCCGCTTTCTTTGTCCATCATATTCATAGTGGAAAGCGCGAGAGTGTAAGAGAAAGAAAGGGAGAGAGAAAGAGAAAGAGAGAAGGAAGCATAGGGGAGCGATAAGTGGAGAGAGTTGATACATTTGACATGTATTGCTCACAACCACTTTTTAGGAATATAATAAGTCATCTCGGATTGAAAGTAGGCGGAGCCTATTGATAGGAGCTTTGTTTTGTCAGTAAAAGTTACAAAATTTCGTAAATGAATAAACAAAAAACATGAAATTATGAAATACATTTCACATTATTTGTTTCATGACGTATCATTCCGATGGTTTATTTTGCCACTGAGTGACAAATTAAAATACGACCGCAACTACTTTCAACAAATATCAACCCAAAAGCAATTTCTATATCCTCTAATACAACCCATAGAAGTCATGTTCGGGTTACGTAATGCGTCAATGTCATGTTAGCAAATTGTAAGGTTTTTTTTCGAAAGTTGTAGTTAGGTCCCAGTAAGTTGTACGGAATTTGGAGCTTGATAATTATCGTTCCATAACATAACACAATGTGCTAAGATTAGGTTTGAATTACGCTCTAATTTATAATTCGAACTAACACAATCGCAAAGACTTCGCAAAATCAACCTGAGGGAATTTTGAAAGGCCTTGTCCGTCAGATGCTGACATGCACAAACAATACAATGACGTATTACGTAGGCCTTTTCCTAATATGATTGCTTTTGGATATCAAATAGGGGATAGTTATTATCTCCATTCTAATAGCAAAGTCGTTTTGCAACATACCATGAACAGTCTTGAGTCTCGTGCATATATCATCGTAGGTGGGTGTTCCAACGAGACGTCCAAACGCGTCATTCCACCAGGTCACAAACTGTGTATTTTCCTTCCGGGTCATCATGCCGGCTCCGTCCAAATAGCAGTTATTCGCAAAATCGGTCGGAGTGAGGCGCCGGAATCCGGCTTCGAGCTGAGGCAGCTTGATAGCAAAGGCTACATCAATCTATAGATCAATAAGTTTTACAGATATTGTTCGAATTTATATAAGCCCGTCGGATTTTATTGTTAACTCTGAACTCGAGGGTCTTTAATGTGGTCTATCCTCTCAGCAATTATTTAATATCAGACACAAAAATCAAAAGTCGATAGCTCAATACACTGCAGTTGAAATTATTGTCAGTGGTGGGTATATTACGTAGGATATAAGTCTTCTTCATACTTAACAATTTATATATATATATATATATATATATATATATATATATATAAGTAAATTCGTTAATCAAACTGACTTTGGCAGGATTTTTTTTCCCTTTTAATCTTTGTCTAATTTCTAGCTAACCTTTTTAAAATTATTTATTTACTTAAAGCAATGAACTTGGATGGTTAGAGAAAGGCAATGTGATATTTGTGGTGGTTTCTATCAAAGATTTATTGCCTCATTGACATTAGAAAACAGTTCTGATATTCCCAAAATCTTACTGAGCCTAGTTTTCAGCTATTTATGTACTATAGTTGACAACTAGCTTAGTAAGGGTTGATCAACATGGGCCCTGAGGTATAAAGCCTATGATTGCTGTGATTATTTTATCGTCAAGATTCCAAAGCCAACCCCCCCCCCCCTCGAGCTATCTTACCTGCCCACTCCGTAACGCTTGAATAAGCTCCATCCCGCTAGATAAATGATGAATACGGTCTGATGGAAGACTAGCACCCTGTGTTATGAGAGGATGAAGAACAAAATAATCAAGCACAAACCCTTGTCAGTCGGTGTGCGAAACAAGAGTCTGCACTGTGAGACTATGGTGACGGCATACTGCATAGTCTCTGTACTGTAGCTTCTCTGGACACAGCTAGAGACTGACAGAGCTAGGCTCTGCTCAAGGCTTTAGAAAATGTTGTAAAGTGTCAAATTATAGCCTGTGCCTGCAGAATAATCATCGACGATCGTGGTCCATCCAAAAAAGCATTTATATTTCGCAAGTTAAAGATGATCAGAAATGAATCAAAATAAACAACATCAATCACAAGAAAATGAAATACTGGGCAGTTCGTAAGAGAAAGGTGTTGATAAACATTCTTTTGAGACTTTAATATTTGCTGGCCCACAAAATGTTCCTTTCGCTCCAGTAACAGCTGAATCGATAAATAAATTAATAATTTAAGACTTTTATAGGCTTACCAAAATAGATCATAAGTTTAGATAATGGAATAATTTGTTTTATACATCTCCATAATTCTAGGGCGGGTACATGATCCTCTAACTAGGTCTCAAAAATCTTTGATAGGCTAAAAGATTATCAGTTTAGCGAGGAGGGGGGAGGGCACTGTCTTGACTTCATTTTTACTCCAGCTTTATGCATATTGCAAATTTAGCCCGTTACAATCACTCCCCTCCCCTCACTAGATCCGCCACTCTTTTTTAGTACCAATCGTTTGTTTATTAATCCGGGAGATAGTTAGTTCTTGGTCTTATGTGTTTATTTACCGTAATACCATTGGAAACATATCTGGCTAGGCAGTGTTCATCCGATGCCCAGCCGTCAATGAACCCGACGTTGAGCCCCGTCAGATCACGGTAGTCGACGGTCGATGTATTGAGAGCGTAGATGGCGACATCCTTTCGTTTCACAAAGGCACGAGTGAAGTCAAAAGTTAAGCTTCGTGGGTAGGTCTTAACCCAACCTGAAAATGGAAAGGGGGTGAGGGCCGGATGAGGGGGGGGGGGGGGGCAGAGGCAGAGGCAAAAGAGGTGATTAGAAAGAAAGAGGTAATGGAAATTGTGTCAGTAATCTTCGCTAAGCATCGTCGTCATCATCACCATCATCATTATTTCCATCAACATCACCGTCGTTAACGCCATCACTATTTGACACACACACCATCAATTATCTGCATTATATCCTTACCATTATAAAAATCCTCATAACCATATATTTGTTAATGTTTTTAGAACAATGTATTGCAGGACCTGATGTTGCCATCAAAGCTGCTCAAAAGCGACCCGTTAACAATACAAAAGTTACTTTTCATTCCAGTTCGATTAAAAAGATAAAATAAATTAAACGTACCAAATGATAGAATCAAATTGTTACAATTTAGAAATGATATAGTGATTGACATCTTTCTTGAATCTGTCAATGTTAGGTACATGGGGGAGATAAGCTGGGAGGGGGTTCCATCATTGGGATGCCCTTGGTAAGTAAGCAGATTGATAATCATTACCATCTTCATCACAATCATCCTCATCATCGTCATCATCCTAATCATCGTTATCATCATCATTATCATCATCATCATCGTCCTCATCATCGTTATCATCATCATCATCATCATCCTCATCATCATTATCATCATCATCATCCTCATCATCATCAACATCGTCATCATCGTCATCATCATCGTCATCATCTTCGCTATCATCATCATCATCATCATCATCGTCGTCATCATCAACATCATCATCATCATCGTCATCATCATCGTCATCATCATCATCATCACCATCATCATCATCACCATCACCATCATCATCATCATCATCGTTATCATCATCATCATCATCATCATTATCATCATCATCGTCGTCATCATTTATCCCGACTAATCTCACCTGTGCATGCGTCGTACCAACCGGACATCAGTCCCTCGCCTCCCCGTGCCTGCTGGCCCGGCTCCGAATCCCAACACCGCTGGTTGACATCCCGCATGAGAACGCAGGTCTTATTGGCCAGCTTACAAACTGATGAATAAAGAAAGTGTAAGTACAAAAATCATAGAAGACACATGAAAACTCATGAAATTGCAAGAAAATGTCAATGTTACTATTTAATGGGAGATGGGGTGATGGATATGCAAACCGACCTATTTATAGAACGAAAGCAAGGAAGAAACAATATTTAGTTAATATGAAGGACAATTATGAGAACAGTAAAGTGTAGTGTGTGTGAGAGAGAGAGAGAGATGTAGATAAAAAAAAATAATATAAGAATGAGAGATAAATAGATATAGATAGAAAGAAGAGGGGAAAGAGGGAGATTTCGTGAAATTATTGTAAATTGGATCCATCAACTTAATGTTTAAAAAGGGGGAAAATTAAAATTGAAATACCAAAGATTCAAAGGGGATTTAAAAAAAAGAGTAATCCGTTGACTGCCCGCAAAAATGCTGTTACTGTCAGCTGTAACGGCCTTCTTATGGGTAGACGACAAATTGCTGAAAGAAAGACTCGTATAGGAGCATTACAGGGAATGTCAACCACAAAATAAGAGGGATGGAGGGAGTCGTGAAGAGAAAAAAGGAGAGAAAAATAGGAGAGAGAGAAAGAAGACGGGGCGGATGAGAGAGTTAATGAAAAAGAGAGTTAGACAGAGACAGAACGAGAAAACAAGGAAATATAACGAGAGGTAAGGAGGTAGAGAGAGAGAGAGAGAGAGAGGGGGGGGGGGGGGTAAAGAAATTACTGTTCCAAGTTTTTTTTTTTAAAGTAGGGAGCCTATTCTCCAGTTCCCACCCAACATGCCCAATATATGCCACATGTCTCTGGCTCCCGCCAATCAACCAATTATTTTTAGTCGGATGCTTCATTTTACAAAAATCCAGATAAGGAACTTTGAAATCATTTTATCTCTGAAAAATCAGACAGGTGTAAAGATGTAGGCAGGTGAGAGGAATCAAACATGAGGGTCATTTCTTACCTGCCTCGACCACGTCCACATTGTATCCTTTGATCTGATAAGACACCTCGTCCCTGAGAGGGGAATGAAAGGGTTAATCAATCGGACGACAGGTGTTATAAATATGTGAAGGGAATGTGATTATGCGACATTTATGTCAGACCAAAGAGATACTTGGTCAGACACAAGTCATGCTCCGGCGACAGTATCTCCGCGCAGTAAATTTGTTATTGCATTATAGTCAATAATATAAAATATAATTATATGGGTCATAGAAGTTGATCAACGAAGCTCCGAGAAAATAGGGATAAGCCATTATTTTCACAATCAATGGATGAAAGGAGGTTAGAAAGATTATATTTCAAATTTATGGGCAACAGTATAATATGCACGGGAGCGTAAGGAAACTGGGAGGACTGGGACAGAGTAACTTGATATTGAATGAATTTCAAACTTTAAGTTTTTACAAATCAGAGGTTTCGTTTGAAGTTTGAGGTTTTTACTGATAATCATACTTACAAATACTCCAAGTTTACACCAAAATCTCCAATTGCGATCGTCCATACCTTTTCTGTAATAAATAATAAAACGACATCCTTATACATACTACCTTAGATTTGGCAAGGGGCAAACAAATGTTCGCATTTCTCTGAATTGATTGTGTCAAAAATCTCTAATTCGCAAACAAATATGTAATTAGCCAAACATAGATGACAATCGCCCCCCCCCTTCACTCTCGTCCTCCTGTAGTCCCGCCCTTGAAGTGACGTAGAGCTAAATATGGTGATAATAAAGACGTGACAGAACGTGTCAACAGTACAGGTGTTTTAGTAATACTTTCATAACGAAATTATAAAGCATTGTAATTCCTAACTCGGGATCCGTTGTTCTGAGAAAGAATTCGATTGGCGCGGGTTATTTTTTAGCTCCCTGTTTTCGAAGGAATCCCAAAGCAATTTCGGGGGGGGGGGGGTATACTCGAGTATGCACGTTAGACAATGATAGAAACTATTAGTACATACTTTAAATCACTAACTAGATCACGAAGACTTTCAAGAAATATATTCAAGGCCCATTTCAATTCCCTATTGTATGTCTCATAGAAAACATTGTCGGATTATGTAATACCTCATCATGCTCCTTGTAATGTTTGGACATTTCATAAGGTGATGGTCAAGACTATTGAATTCCATTCAGTTTATTTTTCTCGAAAGTCTTTGCAATCGTGTTTGACATGTGCGACAATTATTCAATTTTTTGTCTGAATTATTATCTGTTTAATCGCATCCATGATTCCATAACCTACTTTATACCTCACCAAACAATATTATTATTTTAAAGAAACAAATTTCCCATCATAGGGAACCAGCATTTATATATATATTTCACTCTTTTATTACCTCCACGCACGGCGTCTGGGAGTATATGTCATAACAGCCACAGGTTCTTTTGAACATGACATTGGTATAGAATTCGGTTAATGTGTCAGCCATTTGTGATATTGTAACAGCTGAACGCTCCGGGTTATGTAAGTCTATATGTCCCTGAGTGCCCCCAAAACAGTCGTTGCCCCGTTTATTAATTCAACATTGACCCCGTTGACAGCTAGCTCATAAACCTATAATCTTTCTTTGCGCAAAATAGCATAAGGCGAGCACTTCTGGGCATTCAACTTGTACTTTAGGCCACATAGAATCAATTCCTTGTTTGTCGTCCCCTTCTTCTTCTTTCATTTTACGACCCGCCTCAATTCATTGTATTCAATACGTTTGATCTGAAATAAAATAATGAAAATCTAAAGACATCTAGAGAGTGATATTTAAAATTAAAACAAAACAAAAAATAAAAAGTTTTAATGCAATTTCACGTTGTTTTGAGCCTCTAAAGTGCATATACAATACAACTTATTAAGAAAGTTATGAAGCTGACCCAATTGCATTTATAGGTACAGGAAAAGATATCGAATAACATGGAACCCATCCTTATTTGCGAAAATTCCGGACGAGAAACTAGGAATCTGATTTACTTGGCCTTAAGGCCTCGACGTAAAGGGACTGTGTTTAGAAGCGTGTTTCCCACGGAGTACCACTGTAGTTGAAAGCCAGGCAGATTGACCTCAATGTACCTCCAAATACTATCCTTTTAAGGAACTATATCAACAACATTAACAAAGCGAGATACGAAAATATAAGAAAGTACTGTTGGTGGTGCAGAACGAAGCATGTTATTGAATTAAATGCATGAAAGGGCGATGGAGTCTGCACCTAACAAATTATAACGATGTACCTGACAAATAGCGTATGAATCTCTTTCTGGGCAAGCACAAGACGAATTTACTTCTTACGTGTATAAACAAGAGTTACTGCTTAGAGGCAATTTGCAATTTGCGGTATACAAATATCTTATTATTATTATTATTACCAGAATAGTAAATAATAATGAACAGGAATTGAAACGGAATGTGTTACTTATTTGATTTCGAGGCTCGACTACACTCTGTATTTACTGATATAGCCGTTGTGTTCTAAATATATACAGGAATTGAGATCCATTCTTCGAGGAGTCACGTTAGGGATTATTTTCTTTTGGAACGGAGTCCAATCTGAAAAGGCTAATTCAAACCACTGATATAGAGTAGATTCAACTAAGAAACACTATAAAGTGATTCCCAATATGCATCCTGATACTGAGAGGATTTCCATGTGTTACTAATATGAATACAAGCAGGGAGGTGTTTTAACTCACATACCCGGATACAAGTATCATATATAATTATGTACATGCATCATGATGCATGTAAGTAAGGGTGTATGTATATACCTTTATATAAGGAAATGATCTATAAAACAGCCTTGACAATTCTCGTGAAAATAAATTTAATGCGAAATGGGGAACATTAATTTAGGCAACGCAACGATTATTCTTACTTCCTTTCGCATTGTATATTAATGGTATTTTTGGCAAGTGATGCGGGTTCTGAGATATGAGCATGATGAAGAAAAGATAATATTTTTTTCTCGAAATAACAGTGCTAAAATTAAAGGCGGGTAACAGTTACTGTCTGGCCCAATTAACCCAATTAACATGATTGCTATATTTCCACATTTTTACCTTTATTCTTACTATAATGTGCCATTTAACTTTTCTTCGGTGTATCAACTAGACAGTACATTTCAAGCTCGTTTTTTCAAGTGCAAGCACAGGGGTTATTTAAAAAAAATGAGATTTAAAAGAGATGAACCTACCTTGGTTAGCCCTATACCATGGCTCTGTGAGAGCGTTAATCTGCGCAATACTATGACTCGACTTGGCTAGACTGACCGAACCAATGATCACGGCAATCAGGCTTGTCGTCAGGGCTAGGAGAATTCCACACAGGACAATTGTCCTCGAGTTGTCGGACGAGTACCCCATCCTTGTGATCTACTCAACGTTGTACTAGTCCGAAACGAGAGTAGTAATATGCCCAGCTCTATCTGCGAGACGTCCGTCTGTCCGCCCGTGACTGCTCAAAGTTGATAAAGCTTCGAGATGCGATCAACTGATCCATCGCTCGTACGAGCGCGCTGATTTAGACCCGTGGCAGCAAATTGAAGTTATCTTTTCTTTTGACACGCGTCGCAAAGTGCTTGTTCCGAATAGAGTTGGATCCCCTCCCCCCCCCCCCCATTATTCTACTTATAAAATATAATGATTTCTTGCTTTAAAGGTTTGGTATAGGGTCATGAATTGGGTTCAAATGAACATATTGGAAGCATATGCGATCCTACAATATTTAGTGATCATTGTCGCCGTTGAAATTGAGTCTAAAGTTATGAAATTGTAAATAATAAACTCTTTATGTTGTATAGCTCCCTCTCAAGGTCAAGATATTAATTAAGCTATAAAACAATATTTCTTGACTAAAATCGATCAATTAGCGATTCCCGTTTGGAAATTATGTATCACAACTACATCTTCTGAGATTTCCATGGTCGCAGCTACCACTGTACGGCCGTAGGCGCTATTTGAAATTTATCGAAATTTACCGGGAGCACCGGTAAATTGTTATATTCAATTTTTCTCGAAAGCAGAAGTGTTTTAGAGGCTAAAATTTCTAATGCTTATAATACATCCACAGGGGCATCCAAATATATCAAAATTGTAAAGAATCACTATCCACCCGATTTCCAAAATTTCCCAAAACTTTGTAATACCTTTAAAGGAAGCCAATTCTTTTGGTCGTCTTCGGTTAAGTTGTACATGTAGGCCTACGTACTCTCCTTATTTAATATTTTGCGTTAATTAATCTGCTAGAACAAAGAGTTAACGTCCTTCTTGCTCTCAACATATTCACGTCATTGTGTCATTTTCTTCAAATGGGAGGCGAGTTAATTCGAATTGATGTGGAATGAATTGCATTGAAAGATTTAAAGGCCTTGAAACCCGCATCAGAGCACAAGAGCTATAAATATATCAGGAATACCCGTAGTAGAATTAGATTAGGCCTACAATTTATATTATTTATATCTAAATGTAGGGTAGTGGAAGTTAAATATTGTTAACAAATTTATTAGGGGTCATTTCGTTTTGAAGCAGATCGATATCTACGGTTATATAATACATGTAGTGGAATCCACTTTGAGAAAGAGTCGTTCAACCGCTTCTTCCTATCCGAGTGGATTGCTCGCTATTTTTTTAGTGGATTCAATTCCAAACGACATGTTCCGTAATATGACTCCTAATAAAGAAGATTTTTTTTACTCATCTACACTAATTAAGATAAGAGATAGAAAAATATAGGGAAGAGAGAGAGAGAGAATTAAAGAAACTAAAAAAAAGATGGAGGTGGAAACAGAGACATACAGACAGACAGAGAGACAGAGACAGAGAAAGCGAAAGGAGAAAGAAATTATACATTATATTCAAACAAATATTATTCATCATTGAAATAATTTATTTCTTAACTCTGTTAGGCACGTATACGATATTAACACCGAAAATCATACTATTTGGGTGAATGTACAACAAAGATTACATACATTTTATAGAAAATCTCCGATATCGTAAAAATGAAATTCTTAAAACATCTATCCGTATTATACAAAATCACTAAATCGACGGGGTCTAATGAGAAGAACTGCTCGGGCTACAAAGCTAAGTACAGACTTGACAGGAGAATATGGAATCGGACGCATGAATTGCTTTTGATTTATAATACAGTGCGTCCCTGAAAAAGGTCAGAAAATGAACTTTTTGGAAATGTGATTTTCCCTTTGAAATTCAGATACGATTCGCTAAATGACTTTTTGGTACCCTTTCTTCAATTTTGTTTTAATCACTCATGTGTAAAATATGCATTATATGAGTTGCGTCAAATGAAAGAAGAGGAGCTAAGCTTTACAAATATGTGTCATTTAAAAAATTATAATTGTGATTAAGTTATGACAAAACATCGATAAATCTCGGTTTCGTTTTTCTGTGACGCAATGTATATATGTAGCAAAATACCTAATGAGTAGTACAGCACAAGGTTCGACAGAATGAGTACATCGCTCCTTAAACAAATTATGTATGTAATTGCTTCTCCTCTAACTCCCATTTTTATTCTTTCCTTATCATTAACTTTCTAAAAAATTGCTAAAGTAAATCCGGTTTATACAAAAGATAAACCGCATGAAATAAGCAATAAAATTATAGGCCCATATCTATCCTTCCCAGTATATCCAAAATTCTCGAAAAAATTATTTATAATAGGTTATATACATTTTTGAATAACCATGAAATATTAATGTTAATAAATACGGTTTCAGAAAATCATTTTCCACTGACCTAGTTTGGGTTCAAATGTATGATAAAATATTAAATGCAAGGGCCAATTTAAAAAAAAAATGTAATGGGGATTTCATTATTTAATGAATATAAAAAAGATTGAACATTTTTTATATAAACGCACAACAGAGATTGATCTTTAATACATGAATAGCGTGCTTCCTGATTCATTTATGAATTTGTTTGTAATAAATAACACTATCCATCCTTTCTCTACTTAGAACTCATTAAAATTTCAATTGATAAATCCTAAATTATTGATCCTGCATAAATCAATAAAACATCATAATCCATATTTATGGAATGCACTCCTAGACTCAATTAAATCATGTACAACCCTAAATTCAATTTAATTCCGTACGAAGAAAACATTTCTATCGGGGTACATGTTTGGTCTTTTCCCAGTGCTCAATTAATATTCAATATTATTTCCAGATTCCTATAAAAAAAATCCATTCCTATATCTTATATTTCCCGTATACCTTATATAAGCGTCGGACATATTTACATCAGGATATTTTCATTTTCATTTTCACAATAATTCATTATCATCAATATCATCACCATCGTCATCATCATCATCATCCATACCATCATACCAAAATGGTAAAACCCACAGAGATGAATACTGGATATGCGCTCATGAAAGTTATGTAACAATACTCATTTATGCACCAACGGTACATTCTATGATACGCAGGTGGAAGTATTCTATACAAAAGGGCAAACACAAGGTATTCATGAAGCACATCTAGGACTTTGGCAGTTATTATTCTAAGATGCTCAAAGTGGAACTTCTCCATGTGTAAAAGATCTGTGGATATTTGGGGTCATTTGTACCATGTGCTATCTGTAAACTCCCTTATTCCAATAGCCATTTGCGCCACCTATGGAAACGTGCGAACATGAGAATTCGAGGTATTACGTAATCCGAACATATGTATAAGATATTATGTGCAAGGGTAATAAAATTGCACTAATTAAAGGTTGATGTTCGAAAAAAAATTGTGATCGTGTTACAATAATATATGAAACAAATATGAGAGAAAATTAGAAAAGGATGATTGTGTAAATATATCAGAATTGGGAAATATTATTAGTGATGCATTAATAATGATAATTTTAATAATACTTGTCATTAATCACAATGATATTAATAATAATTATGAAATTATACCAATTATACAATGATAAGAGATTGATTTATTCTGGTTGAAGGTGATATTCACTGTACAACAAAATGGGTATGTGGGACTGGGACCGCACACATACACGTAACAGTTTGGCCAAAACACTTTTTCTCATTACATTCCTCTCTTTAGTATGTTGAATAAATCTAGTCATCTGATTGGTCGAAATTGGAGCCGTGATTTTAGCCATACCCGCTTGCGCATATTTTTTGTACACAACTGTTTAGCCATTTTCGCGAACAAATTCCTAGAAGTGCTGTGGTGAAAGAGTCTAATTCGTCAGCGTACTACACCAAGGGAAGGGAAGATGATAGACAAGGGAAAACAAGGATAGTGGAGACCCGTGGGGGTCACTCTCAGGCACTCTCATACACAAATGCTACCCACCCGTTCCATCAACATCTGAAATCAACCCTAATGGCGTATCGCACTTTTTCCAAAATAACCCTTTTTAAAGAAAACGTCGAAACCTGTGATCCTGAAAAGGTACCCTTTTATATTTTTTGTGCGATCAGTGCTTGATAAATACCCTTTTTTAAGGTAAACGTAGACGACGTCGAACCCGTAAATCTAAAAAGGTACCCTTTTCTGTGTTTTGTGCGATCAGTACTTAAAAACATCCCATTTCAAGAAAAACGTCGACGCCGTATATAGCTGATAAAGACACCCTTTCGCCGTTTTTTTCGTAGCCAGTCATGTTGGGAGTGGCCCCCCTGGGAGTGGAGAGGATATGGAGAAGGAAAATCAAGGAAATACATAAGGAAAAAGAAGACATAGATTTCACCAGAAACAAAGACATAACGAGTATGCACATGAACAGCTCCAGCAATCCAAAAATACTGCTAAGGGTAATGTTAGACTCTTTCTCTAGTCGTTTGAACAGTATATTTGACGGTCAATAGTTTATGAGAAAGATGCCCGTTGCACCGGGTAATGGGCCGCATATTAAATAAATTTTGCTGAGATCCCTATTGGTTTATGTGTAAAAAGTTTCTTTGTGCGAGTGCGGATACCATATACAGTGCAATGTGTGTGTGTGTGTGTTTGTGCGATTCATAAATGATCGTAACATTCAGGCAATTTTCCAGCCCCGGTGCGCCTCGGGGTCATGTCAGGATGTAACGTCCTCAAGAGCCTATAGAAACAGCGATGTCTCTCATAGCAGTTAATATATCTATACTATATTTCGGAGACTTGGGGGCATTTGAAGAGCAATTCATTTTGGGTGTCATTTCTTCTTTGATATTCCTCCAAACTGACAAAAAGTGTGATAAAGCTCACAAATTGTTTTAATCCTTTACCAAAACTCAACATTCATTTGTGTTTGAGGAGAAAAAAACGTTTCAATTTTCTATTGTGCAATGAGTCATTTTTATATTGCTTTTACCGTCGCGCCTACACGTTCGAGCAATTGACAAACTTATTGGTATATGTCTCCCAGACATGAAAGAGCTGTTCCGGCGTTTTGGTAATCCCACGAACAGTTAAGGTATCATAGCTTCTCAAAGAACACGCATCAACCCTTCCAGCCCATGTCTTAAAACCCGGATGCCCAACAGGCTCAACATCCAACCTCTTTGCAAGGATTCCCTGAAAGACATCTGCAACACCGATGAGAGGCGTCCGCAGCGCCGTCCGGTACATGGAGGGCACCATATCGCTAGACAGAATGTACCCGCTTCCACTGCAGTACGTTGGGTAGTAGCGCCCGCTATACTGCTTACTAGACACTTTAAGTAGTTTCTTGGTGTTTGCTCTCTTCTCTCTTTTAACGGACAAACGTTCGTTCCCGTAAATTCTTGAACCGAGGTAAAACCTTTCTCGAGCGTCTCCCTTGTTTCGAAGTTCTATCAAGTAACGAACGATACTCTTGAAATTGACGAACGTATCTTCGGCACCTGCATACAAATAATGCGCGTGATCGCAATTCTTGAGGATCCATTTAAGACCAGCGATAACCTTCAGGGTACGATTTGCAAAGGAATCGATGAAATTTCCTTGAAGAATGTCCTGGTGCTGTGCATCCTCGGTCATTATATAACTTCGATTTGCTGAATGCGTTTGTTTTCCTAGGATAAAGAACACCCTGATGAGCTCTCCGCCGATTGATAAATCCGAGCCCCAGGTTCTACGGATAGCGTTCCGGATCCCCCAATTCTTGGGATGAGAGTTGATGAACGCAATCATGAATATATCGCGTTTCTTTCTTCCTTGCGTGAAACAAATGTCTGGATGATCAAGATGTAGCCGCAACACTTTATGTAAATAATGTTTATTATTGATATCAGCCGGGAGTACGACATCTAAATCCGGATCTACGCAGCTCTTGAGAACGGTTAGGTTGCTCAGGTGTTTCACAACTGCAATCATTGTATCCGGGTTATCTGGTGCAACTGCGGTAACGACACGGTCAACAGAGCATGGTTTGGAGCGCATGCGCGTCGTCGTAAATGAATGACCGTGGTGTATCAACGTCCAATTGTGATCTCTTCCTACTATACCAGTTAGGACGTCTATAAAGGGAAACAGGTTATTATTAGTGGAGGATGAGTTGTATATATCTCTGGCTGCAGCTACGTTCATAACATAACCAGCACTGGAAATGCAAAATGGCGGATAGACTGTTTCGCTGAACTGCTTTTCTGAAATATAATATGAACTAGCTGGATTACGTATGGGAATCTGGTCTCTTTGAATATTACCTATCAACAGTTTTCCGTCATTATCCTGGATGTCGCGGTGCTCTAAAACCTTCATCAACCGTCTGTAGTTAACAAACATGGTATCATGGACAATGAGAACATATCTGACTTGTTGACAATGTTCTAGTATCCATTGGATACCGAGTAATACCATCAGACTGGACCCGGCTTTCCGCGACTCATGTTTGTAATTGTTAAGGATATCCTTATACTTGACGAACTCATTGTTCAGTCTGAGGATGCCATCGCGGTCCCGCGAATCAGGATGTTCTCCCATCAAAAAGACAGTCAGGACGTGATCATTACCTGTGGTCGCCCACGAACTCCTGATAGCATGACGGCGAGTACTGTCGTCTGGTGTCGATATCACCAAGGTGATGATGAAGATGTCATCCGGACAACCAGATGGCAGGCCTTCAATGCGGTTCTTCTTCAACAAGGAGATCGGTTCCTTCTTGGACATGTCGGCTAATTTTAAGAGCTTCTGATCCGTCTCATTCAAGTAAACGATAAGTTTATGTTGAACTTCACGTCCTTGTGGCTGGTGAACGTCGGCGGAATGCGTTAACAGCAATGAAACAATGAGGACATTGATGATTGCAGCGGCTGTCAATATCCACATAATGGTACGATCCTTTCTCACGTCGGCCATTTTCATCCTGGTGTGCGACGTTACTGCCTAGTTCGCGGTCAACGTCACAATACAACAACTCCTTAGAATATTTAAGATAACATGTACATATTCCTTGTTCTTGAAATCTATTTCGGCATTTATATAACTCACAGAGAACCGAGCAATGGCATTCTATATGATGTGTATCCATACAGCTGAACAATGTATTCTGAACTTGTCTTTGTTTCGTTAAACAGCAGCTGTGATTTTTCAATATCAATCAATACAGTTGTACGTTATTGAAGGTAGCTAGTCTGAACGTAATATGATTGACAATGCAAGGGAAACAGAAACCCTACAAATAGTGGTGCTATATGCGATTATTTGTCCTTCAATCGCTCATAATCAATAACATGCATACAGTATAAAACCTAATGATAGTTATATATTGTAAGCAGGACGCAGTCATTATCAACAACAAAATATTCTGTCTCTATGATAAATCATGTTGATTTAATTTCTTGTTTATTTTGTTAGAAAAATTTCGTGGAAAAAAACCCATCTTGATCATTGATCCATCATTTTTTCTTCTTCTTCAGGATAATTTGTCTCCTTCACTGCTGAAGATTCTTGCAGATGTGCAAGTCCATGTGTGTGACGACATAGGGATGCCAAAGTATGCAGGTGAAAGGTGTATATATACATAGTGAGGTCACTGAGGTGTATAATATATACATATTACACCATGTAATCTAAATAGTTTATATTCAAAACGCAGTGCCTCCGGGTATCACTCTGTTTTAAGTTTTAAACAATATGACGGGACTACCCTTTTAAAATAATACCTAATAGATGAATGAATAAATAAATGAATAAATAAATGAATAAATAAATAGATAATATTTACAGCAGAAAATAAACTTATGGGGTGAGTACTTGCTCGAAGCTTTATTTCGGCAGAGATGTTATTATGGGCTTAGTATTGGTAGCCCATCTGCACTAGTTTGGCATGGAGGGATTAGACCTCCCTACAAGGTCACTGGCGGGTGGTAATCTCATCAAATTAGCTCTCAATTAAGAGAATAAAAAGAGGATCATGGGGAACCAACAGGCACCGATTAGGCATTGTTTGCTAAATAGAGGGCGCAAGTCGCTATACGTAGTGCAATGGGGCTTTAATAGAAGGGTTTCTATCCTGTTTTGCTTATGGTTAGGGGGTAGTGAGCACTAATATTAGGCCCTCGAAAATGTAAAAAAATCGCACCCCCCCCCCCCCCTCTCCTTTGAGCGTCAGGGGAGGGGGAGACGATAATGGTATAGGCGAGAGAAAATGAACCAACGGGATTAAAGGTTAAATAATTCAAGAAATGGAGAATAATGACATATTAATAACAAAGTGTATTAAAAACAATGGTGTATGGATTGATAACGTGGAATATGGTGATCTTCAGCAACATTTAATTTAAAACAAAATTAAGGTCACAATGTTTTATCAATCATAATCAACCTCAATTGCCTTTAGAGAGCTCTTTCACGATGACATCGCATGACCTTGTCTTTATTCAAACTGTCAAACTGTATGCTATGGTCACATTACCCAAAAGTAGCCTGCTCGGCGGCCGAGCGGCGAGTTTTTAACCAATTCTGCCCGGCTGCCGCCCAGGCACCGCTCGTTTTTAGGGCATCGCTCGGTCGCCGCTGAAGTTTTAGCGCGGAGTTAAAATTTGGGCGGCGCCTGCTCACTTTTCACTCGCCGCCCAAAATACGCTCGGTGCCTGGGCGGTCGCCGCCCGGGCACCGATCTAATCGCTGGGCGATGCCTAATTCCAGCAGCGACCGAGCAGGCTACTGATCGGTCGGTCGCTGCTCTGATTTGTGACCATAGCTTAAGCGTAAATGATGTGTAATAGCCATGTGTTTCTCGCTCTTATGCTATGGTCACATTACCCAAAAGTAGACTGCTCGGCGGCCGAGCGGCGAGTTTTTAACCAATTCTGCCCGGCGGCTGCCCGGCCACCGAGCGGCGGCCGCCCAGGCACCGCTCGTTTTTAGGGCATCGCTCGGTCGCCGCTGAAGTTTTAGCGCGGAGTTAAAATTTGGGCGGCGCCTGCTCACTTTTCACTCGCCGCCCAAAATACGCTCGGTGCCTGGGCGGTCGCCGCCCGGGCACCGAACTAACCGCTGGGCGATGCCTAATTCCAGCAGCGACCGAGCAGGCTACTGATCGGTCGGTCGCTGCTCTGATTTGTGACCATAGCTTTACTCGCTCCTACGCTGAAGTACGCTCCGAAGTGTTTATATTATCTCCGTGTATTTTCAGAACTTCAGTCTGCACGTTGGCCAGAGTTTCCTTTAGGCGTGTTACAGCTAGGCTTCCCCAAACTTTGTTTGAGACTGGAAAATGCCCAGACAAGATACCTCATTCAGGAGATTTTTATATTATGCCACTGCTCTAAACGGATTCCTCCGACACGATCTCAAAATCTGAATTTCTTTTTTTAATAATTATCATTATTATCGACTTAGTTGTACTAGCCCACTGATCTGTCCGTATACTTTTCAGTGTGTGAGCCCATTATGCGCGTAACAAATTCGCGAATCACGCCATCTTTGGTTTGTAATAGGTGAGGGAGAGATCGCGAAATAAAACTAGACCCGAATATTAGACGAATTAGGTGATACCGTATGTATCCTCATGTTTTTGTGTTACATAATGAAGAATATATGCATTTTCACGATTTCAGATCTTATAAAATGCTCCCCTCATTATGGTCTATCCATTTGTCATGTTTCATTTGTGAAGCATTAATCATTATCAGGAAAGGGGAAGGGGGGGGGGGGGGACAAAATGCGATGGACGAGGGAAAATAGTGAGCAAGATGGGCCAGTGGTGTAATTAGCAAAACTTGGGGGTGGGTGGGGGATAAAGTACTTACGATCAGGTAGAGCAAAGCGAGCGTAGCAAGTGGAGCGTAAATTGGCGTGTGGTCCAGTGGCAAAGCCCTGGCGGCAGTCAGGGGACGCCCCATGAAGCTCCGGGGGTTTTAGGCATTTTAATTACGGTCAGATGAACATATTTTGATACCTTACTCGTGACACTGGCATGTCACAAGTGGAGTCAGGTCCGAGGGGCAGCGCCCCCAGAATCTCAAGGGTTTTAGGCATTAACATAAAATGAGCATCTAGGGGCCCGCCTTAGGGCCCTTGGTGGAGTCCAGGGGGCAGAGCCCCCAGGACTCCACCAACTCTTAGGTTTTAGGCATTTAATTACGGTCAGATGAGCAACCAGGGGCCGTCTTAGGCCTTTATAGGTGTCTAGTGGGCAGAGCCCCCGGGAGCTCAGGGAAAAATAATGCAATTTCAGCAACATTTGTGTATCAGTGGTATCAAATTAGAATACAAAAACAGTACGCCAGTGAAAGGGGAGGAGATGTTGGAAGTGGCTACCTCCATATAAATTCATGATAAGTCTTATTATATAGCTCTATGCTTCCCCGTCACAGGTTTTTGAAGTTTTGTTGTATTACAAAATTACATTCTTTAGCAAACTATAGTTTAATTGGGGGGGGGGGGGGGGACACAGGGAACTGGAAGTATACTCATATTTGACCAATTTCCAAAGGAAGTTGCAAAAATAATCAAACCATATATGAATGGAAAGGTTATATATCAAGGACGTTTATGATTGTAAAATTTGTCACCATAAACGCTAATTAGCATCCAATTATGCAAATTAGCCAATATTTTAAAATCTTAGGCTCTACTGAATACCATTCACACTAGAAAGCTAATTTTTTTTTTTTTTTTTGCCACAGATGTTCTCTAAAAATATCTCTAGGGTGTGAATTATCAAAAAATATTTTGTTTTCTTTTGTTTTTTTAAACTGATTTAATTTTTTTTGGTTAATGTTTCGGAGCTAATTATCTATTCATGACATTATTACAAGAAAATCAAAACATTTAATGGAATTCTAAATAAATAACCTCCTAGAGACACATTTCATCAACAAACATGCAAGGTTTAAACAGAATCAGACATCCCACTCTTCAGTTATCCTATTTTGAATTCAGACAATCAATCAAAAAACTGATTCCTAGAAGGACAAAGAGAAACATAAGCTCACATTTCCCATTTTTTCTGAGACACAATACAAGTTATAAAAAAACAATATACATGTTAACGATAAATGTTACGTTTTTTTAAAACCCAAATTGAATTGTTTTATTATGAAGTCCTCTTATACTTTCAACAATTGATATTTCAATTAAAATGTTGGTATTTGTACAATGAACAACACAAGTAATTAACTTTATTGACATAAAATAAATAAATTGTCTTAGATTATTTTTTCAAGGTCACGCATGAATAGTTTGCTCTAATTTACAAAACCGCCTATTTTATGGCTTTCTCTTAATTTTTTCATGCTGATTTTTATGTAGGATATGGAAAAAAAAAGGATGTAGTTTCAGAATATGACAAAATCAGAAAATTGTTATATGGGTCGAATTTTCATCGTTTTAGGCCAAAACTCCCCCTTAAAAACAAGCGATATACTTTTTCACACTTTACTTTTACTTTGGCTTTGCAGTCCGAAGGGTTGTAAATATTTATTAGGTAAATTTTAGTAAGTAGGTAGGAAGGGACTTCTTAAAAGAGCAAGCTGAATATTCATTTCTTTAGCACTGATCTATTTCTATAAATCTCAGTTCAGTTCAGTTCAGTTTATTTCACATCCAATAAAAAAAATACAACTGTATAACATTCAAATACAATAATATAAAATGCAATATATATTTCTTTAATGTAATGAGATAAGAACAAATACAACAACAACAGTAACACTACAAAGTATGGGTAGAGTAGGGATGTGAGAGACCAGAAAAGGCCATTGACCCAACTAGGCTGGTTCTTTTTTTCCTACAAACCCCATAAGTAAAATTCAGTAAAGTAAATATTGACGATATAGACATTACATGAACTGAGACGTACATACACACATACATTGGACAGGCAGAATTAAATAAAGTTAAACAAATAT